TTTCTAAATTTATGTATTAACATTTAATAAAAAATATTTTTATATTTTAAATTAAATTTTCATTTTTCATTGTAAGAATCAACAATTAACAAAATAAATTCTTAAATTTTAAATTAAATTTTAATAATATCATTTAAAGATAAAATTCTAATTTTTTTTTTAAAGTTAAGGCTGATACTCAATGTTCGTACTCCTTATTATAAATTCATGAACTAAAATTAGCATAAATATTTTTCTTGTAATATTCTATTATAATTCCGAGTCACGCCATCATCCTTTTAGCAACTCTACATTGTTGCTTGCAAAGTAGAACCGGGAAGAGAGAGGAGAAACCCTGATGGCATCGAAGCAAAGCGGATATCAAAAGTGACTCATAATCTCAATCTCGTCAAATCCCACAAGTTCTATCCTGCCAATGACGTCTAGAAGCCGCTCCCCAACAAGCGGAAGCTTAAGCCTACACCAAGTTAAGGAACACACCCAGTAACCATGTTATTACATGGTTGTTGTTGATGTGCCAATATGGAAGGAGTCGGTATCTTTCCAAATGAAATAGGATAAATCACCTAAATTTATTTAGAGTCAGAAAGTTGGTTAAGTATGGGAAGATGTTAGGGATCCCACAATTTCAATATAAAATATACTTACTACATATTTTAATTTTAGGTATTTTTAATTTATTCAAAGAGTTTAAATTTACCTTAATTCAAAGGAAATTCTAAATTTTGCCTTCCTACTTGAAGCTTTTACAAGGAAGGAAGTATTGAGCTTCTCATCCAATAGTTAAAAGACAATCAAGTATTCATTTAACCTATAGTAAATAAATCAAAAGAAATGATTTTCCTCATGGAGACAATACCGAACGTACCATACCAAATGAATACCCAAACAAGTAATCAATATGAAGAAAAAAAGAGTGCACGTCAGCCAACCAAATTCCTTAATAATTCAAATAAAATTTCATTGCCTTAAGCAAGTTTTGCCTGAAGCAAGTTTTGCCTGATTACTTTTAAGGAAATACCGGAGATTGGAGTGGGCGCGAGCGGGGAAGGAATCGGACCGGGAGTAGGAGATGGAGATGAAGGTGATTCCAGAAAGGGACGAAAAACAATGGAAACAAGATTAAGAGAAACGACGTCGTTTTAATTTAGAACTTTAATTTTATTTTTGTAGGTAGGATTTATTTGCACTTTTTTGCTCGTGTGTGTGTATATATATATATATATATATATATGTTAAAAATAATAAGGGCATAACTTGGAACATCATATAAAAGTACGGAAAACTTCAAACTATTCCAAAAAAATAAATTTCTGTCAGGGAAGCATGGA